AGTTCTGTTATCATGCTCTACCAATGTAGCATTTCTTGATCCATAAACTACTCTTTGTCTTACTGAGTACTGTTGCTATGCTCTACCAAATGCAATGAAGCATTTCATGATCCATAAACTATTCTTTGTCTTACTGATAACTGTAATCATGCTCTACTAATGTAGCATTTCTTGATCTATAAACTACTCTTCGTCTTACTGATTACTGTTATCATGCTCTACTAATGCAGCGTTTCGTGATGCACAAACTGCTCTTCGTCTTACTGAGTACTGTAATCATGCTCTACCAAGGTAGCTTTTCTTGATCCATAAACTACTCTTCGTCTTACTGAGTACTGTAATCATGCTCTACCAATGTAGCTTTTCTTGATCCATAAACTATTCTTCGTCTTACTAATTACTGTAATCATACTCTACCAAGGTAGCTTTTCTTGATCTTTAAACTACTCTTCGTCTTACTGAGTACAGTAATCATGCTCTACCAAGGTAGCTTTTCTTGATCCATAAACTACTCTTCTTCTTAATGAGTACATAAATCATGCTCCACCAAGGTAGCTTTTCTTGATCCATAAACTACTCTTCTTATTACTGAGTACAGTAATCATGCTCTACCAAGGTAGCTTTTCTTGATCCATAAATTACTCTTCTTCTTACTGAGTACAGCAATCATGCTCTACCAAGGTAGCTTTTCCTGATCCATAAACTACTTTTCTTCTTACTGAGAACAGTAATCATGCTCTACCAAGGTAGCTTTTCTTGATCCATAAACTACGTTCCTTCTTACTGAGTACTGTAATCATGCTCTACCAAGGTAGCGTTTCCTGATCCATAAACTACTCTTCTTCTTACTGAGTACTGTAATCATGCTCTACCAAGGTAGCTTTTCTTGATCAATAAACTACTCTTCGTCTCACTGAGTACTGTAATCATGCTCTACCAAGGTAGCGTTTCCTGATCCATAAACTACTCTTCTTCTTACTGAGTACAGTGATCATGCTTTATCGAGGTAAGTGTGCCAACTATATTTCTTATTCAGTCATCATGTTCTATCATGGTTGGCCTTCATTTTTGAATCAGCCTTGCTGGATCTATGTGATTACTCTGGTTTTGAGATGGTGCAGAAAACTATATGAAGACATATCATGAAACTATTTATGTGTCTTTATGACTTGCAGAAACTTTCTAAAACCATATTTTAATCATCAACTGCCAACTTTTGACATGTTATTTGCCCTTAAATTAAGAAAAGATTGATTGAACAACCCTTTTATTGTAGAGATACACTTGCTTATAGTTTCTTTGTAAATCAAAATTGATAATGATACTATTTATGAATTAATTTGAAAAAAGTAATTGTACATCAATTGAATCAGTTGATAAAAACTTTAAACGTATTATATTAGTATCTTATGCTTGTGTAAGTTCTTGTTTAATGATATTTGTGTCAACAGGTGTATTAATATATTTAAGTTGATTCCCACACTTTTTTGAAATGGTATTACTCCAATTCTTTCCATACCCATATAGAACTGAAATGTTTGCCGCAAATTTGCAGCAGACTTGCTGCAAGCTTGCAGCAAACAAAAACCTTGCAGGAACACAGAAAATAGTGTTTGCAGATGTTTGCCGATAGCTGCAAACTTCCGGCAAATATTGCAGCGTTTTGGGGCAAGTTTGCAGAAACATCAATGTTTGCCATAAGATTGCAGGAAAGTTAAGAAAATAACGAATGTTTGCCGCAAGTTACCAGAAATCTTTGATCATTCTATATGTTTGCCGCAAGTTAGCAGAAAACTTTGAATATTCTATATGTTTGCTAGAACATTGCATGAATAACACAATATTGACTGGCATGCCTAGTTGGCACTTCCTGGATGCTAACAATTTGAAATTGTGGGCTAGGTCATGTTGATTGTGTTTGATAAATGTTACATATATATAAGAGATCAAGGAGACATTTTGGTTCAATAATATAGGATATTCAATATGTAATATTGTAAGTACAAATTATGCATAAAACTGTTGATTTACTAAAATAAATAATGTCAACATCATACATACCAGTATAATTAACCCTTACCGAAAAATAAGCCCTGCGGCAAGTTTGCCGCAACCATTTTACCTTGCAAATGAAGGTTGCGGCATGCTTGCTGCAAACATAATTATGCAAATTAGATTTGCCGCAAGCTTGCGGCAATTGTTTGTTGCAAACTTGCGGCAAACTTGCAGGAACTACACATATACCAATGTCATGTGTGAAGACACATTCAATTTATCTCTTTCAAAGTACACAGCAACATTTTGAAAAGAATTCCTGCCTGTAACTGTTAATAAAACAGTCATTGAAAGAATTCTTGCAAATTTAAAGATTTAAGGAAATACATACATGCATTTGAGTTTTGAAAAAAGGGGGCAGGGGTTATTCTCAAATGACATTATATACCTGTATTAAGAAATGAAAAAGGATAAACATCCAATGTGTGTTGGGTATAAAGCTAGGTAATAATTGCATTGCAGAATTGAACTTAATTTTAATAAACATGATACAGTTAGTGACATCAGTTACAGAATTCAAACTTATAATACTTAGTAGCTAAAGTTTTTCAAACACACACATATATATATATAGTTGCTTACTTAATTATGTATGATGGTGACATTAATTATTTTATTTAAACATGCAGTTCTATGACTTATTTGTACTTACAAAGTTACCTATTGAATATCCTATATTATTGAACCAAAATGACTCCTTGATCTCTTATATGTGAAATGCATTTTCCAAACACAATCAACATGACCTAGACATAATTTCAAATTGTTAGATTCCAGGAAGTGCCAACTAGGCATGCCCAGTCAATATTGTGTAATGCTTGCAATGTTCTGGCAAACATATAGAATGGTCAAAGTTTTCTGCAATCTTGCAGCAAACTGTTTATTTATTATCTTAACTTTCTGGCAATCTTACGGCAAACATTGATGTTTTTGCAAACTTGCCGCAAGCTTGCAGCAAAAAGCTGTAATGTTTGCCGGAAGTTTGCAGCTAGCGGCAAACATCTGCAAACACTATTTTCTGTGTTCCTGCAAACTTTTTGTTTTCCACAAGCTTGCTGCAAGTCTGCTGCAAGTTTGCGGCAAACAATTCAGTTCCATAAGGGAAGTTAGCAACTATATATGTTTGAAATACTCTACATGCTTTAGCTATTATAAGTTTGAATTTTGTAACTGATTAAATGTATACGGTTTAATAAAGTGAATGCAATTATTACCTAGCTCTATATATGCTAAATACACATCTGATATTTATCCTTTTTTATTTCTTTATACCGGTCGATACATGATATCGTTTGAGAATGACCCCCGCCGCCTTTTTCTAAAATGAAATGCATGTATGTATTTCCTCGAATCTCATTAGTTTGCAAGTATTCTTTCAATGACTGTTTGTATATAGGCAGCAAGTTCTTTTTTAAAATTTTGATGTGTCATTTGAAAGAGATGAATTGAATGTGTCTACACACATGACATTGGTATATGTGTAGTTCCTGCAAGTTTGCCACAAGGCTTATTTTTCGGTAAGGGTAGACAAGTAAGATTCAGTTTGAGTATCAACTGTCATGATTTTCAAATAATTACACCCAAAGGTGCAAGTATTAATTGCAAACAACCCCAGTCTAAATTCACCACAGGTAATATCTCATGACCTGTTACACAATTAGATAGACACAATTTATTAAACACCTAATTGAATACACACCTTCTTCACCTCAATAGTAAACCTACAAATGCATTTTTTATTTTGATCTACACTACATTTAAATTGCTAGCTAGCTGAATGATTGATCAGATGTTGGTTTTTTTTCAAAGAAAAGACAAACATGAAAAAAATATGTATAAAAAATGTTTTATTTCACTTGTAAAATCAGTGTGATTATCATCTGTCAATAATCAAGTTCTAATTAATTAGTTACAATTATCAGAAATTTGGTTGAAACAATAAACACAATTGCATAACTTACTCTTACCTGAGCATTTTCTGCAATACATTTTTTTTGTGTTCTACATTGATATCCCATTATATTGCTATTTACATGTAACAGTAATTGGAAATATCTCAGCATTAGGTATTTGTACATTTAATATGTGAATACAGGAAATGTATATTTTCTTAGCATAGAATGTCAACACCAATTTAGGTAAAAAATAGTATTATTTTTTTTTAACTTTTGTTGTTGAGAAACTGATTTGCAAGGCCTCTTTCTGGAAATTATTAAGCCAGTTATTATTAATGACATATAAAAAAAATATATTACTTGTTTGATGATTTCACTTTCCATTCTTGGCAATACCATTAAATTGCAAATATTTAAAAAAAAAAAATTTGACAGAGTCTAAATTGAAATATCAATAGATATCAATATTGCATCACTTTTGGGAAATTCCCTAACTTTGGACAACAACATAGATATTTTAAGTAAGATTGGAAATGGAAAGAGAAAACAATATTGAAAAAAGTATGGTCAGAAAGATTATCAGACTAGCTTAATGAATATAGCTGGATCACAACATCGACGATGTTTTGATTTCTATATTGTACCAATGATAATGCTCATTCAATAATCATGCTTTATCAAGATTGGATTATCATCTTGCAGAATACAGTATTCATTCTCTATCAGGAAAGACATTATACTTGAACCAGCCCTTTCAACAGCAAAGCTTTGAAATGATACCATCATACAACCCTGAAGGAAATCGTAGTACAGAACAGAAAAGAACATCCAAATTTTAGAAATTTATCTGATAACATGTTTATATCGTTATTTTAAAGCAGTAGGTGAGAGTTCACAGGTGAATGTCTCTGGTATTCATTTATATTGGTGTATATGCTGTACATAAATATCATTTAAAAAGAACAAAATGAAGATAGCTTTTAAAATGCCTATTATTCTATAACATGTAGGAAATAAATAGTCCAATGTATGATTTTTTTCTATTTCCAGGTCAAAGTAAGCAAAAAAGACTTGAGGGTAATTATTTACTGTTAGTTAATCCATAATGTTCTATGAGAAAATTAAAATAACAAAAATACTTAACTCCAAGGAAAATTCAACTCAAATGATGGAAAAACTTAGGGTACAATAGACAGCAGTCAACATTGTATTATGATCTATATAAAACAACAAACTACGTCAACAAAGAAAAAATGACATGCCGACACGATAAAACACAGCTCTCTCTCTCTCTCTCTCTCTCTCTCTCTTTCTTGACCTCTTGATGTTTCTCTTCTTAATTGATCTGCTAGATATGAATATCGCCTTAATTTACGGAAGTTGGCTATTCTTCAAGGTTATCTTTGAAGGTAAAAATAAAATATGTAACATATAGGTGTTCAACCTTAAGACTAGGTCGCATTCTTCGATCAACATATTACCAAAACCTTTAAAAACTTTATTGACTTTCATCTAATTGGAGAATAATTGCTTGTAATTAGCAGAAGAAATACCAGACTGTCTGTCTGTCCATTCGTAAATCAATTTTCCACACTTTTTTTGCATGTTTGAAGATATTGATTTGATATTTGGTGTATTGTTTTATGACAAGTTACAGATCAAGTTCGAATTTTGTTCCGGTCTGATGATTTTGTGCAGAGTAATGTTTCTTGGACTTAAATGATCAGTTTTCAACTCTTTTTTTCGTCCTACTTGAAGATAATAAATTGAAAATTGGTATATAGTTTACACCATGACAAAGTATAGATCAAGGTAACATTTATTCAAAAACAATGAATTTTTAACCAGTAGGGGACTATGTATTGCCATGCAATACTCACAGAATACTTGTTTCATGTACTATCACCATCAAGGGGAAGTTTATTTTTAATATTTTTACAAATATAATTAAGTTATAAAGATATCCTCACAAAATTTGATTTTTAAACCTGAAAATAAGAATAAACTCTATTGAAACTGGTTTTACAAATCAGAGAGTTGTGTTTCTGATATAGTTTTGTCTTGGGACATACTCCCGCCTGGCCCTTAAATAGGGGATTAAACCTGGTTTTATAGCTAGCTTATCCTCTCACTTGCACGACAGTCGCTGAAAATTCCACCATACCGACAACAACATGCGAAAAAAAATAAACAGACACAACAGGAAAAAATGTCAAAAATAGGGACACAACAGTCAACATTATGTTATAATCTTTAATGCTATAAAAACAAACAAATATATCAACAAAGAAAAAAAATTGATTTAAACTGATTTCTTTTACATTCTAACATTGAAATACATATTAATATTAATATCTATTTGAATATATTTTTAGGAGATACAAAAGCCCTTATTGAAGAAGATTTAAGAGAGGATACATTTGTGACTACTAAGGTGGTGACAGACAGCTTATCATTGTTGAAACAGGATGGCGTCTTGTTAATAACAGGACATGCAGGCACAGGGAAAAGTCGGACTGGTCGCCATGTCCTACATATGTTTTGCACTGGAGATACTTCATTCAAATGTATAAAGCTAAATACATTGAATGAATTGGAAGATATTGTCAGTAGAGAAGACAATGTTGCGGTTTTACTTGATGACATTTTTGGTGAAACAAACTGTATTTATAATAAAGAGAAGGATGCACCAATTCTTGACAAAGTTCATGCATATGTTTGTAAAGGTAACATTAAAGTCATTATAACTATCAGAGATACAGTCAAACGCCAGTGTCAAGAAGTGTTTGACAGTCATAGATTATTCAAATTTAACTTTATTGATCTAAGTTCAGACAGATATATACTAAGACGGGGGGAGAAAAACACTATTCTCACTAAATATATGAAAACCGTTCGTCAAGCAGTACATGATGGCAAAACAGGGTTTGTAGACTGTAATGGTGATACGATTTTAAAATCGGACGAAGTTTGGGATATAATACAGTGTAATCCAGTCAAAGGGTTTCCTCTAGTAGTGTATGAGTTCATCCATAATGACAAATATTTTCATCTTGGAAGCAAATTTTTTGACAGTCCAACAGAAGCCATATTAGAAGACTTAAGGACATTAAGACGTAAAGGTACAATTCACAGCAATGATAAAGCAAAGTTTATGCTACAGTATGCAGTAATAGTCTACACAGCAATAAATGATAATTGTATTTACCCTAATGATAACTCGTGTGTTATAGAGGTTCCAAAAATAATTGATGCAATCTATGGAGAGACAATAAAACTGAAAAAGTTCCACGTAGTGGATGCAGTTATGGAACTCAAAGGAAGTTATTTGATAAATATTCCCAATCAAAGATCTTACAGATTACATCATCCAACACTACATGAGAGTGTCATCATATCTTTTGCCCTGATTGACGAAGAAAATATAAACAAGATCATACCTTTAATCAGCTGGTCATTTTTCCTTAAGATGGTAAAACCAGAATCATATAAAGAAAAAGATGGAGAGGTAGTATTGAGAATTCCAACTAACAGTTATAAACTATTGGCCGATAGATTAGCAGAGTTTTACATGGCAGAATTTACATGTCTATTTTTAAGTAACTTTAGTAATACTGAAATATTCCAACAAGACTATAGTCTCCTACTACCTTGTTTATTTGAGGCTTTAGAAAAGGAAGATACCAAAGATAAACATACTGAAAATATGATCAGATACAAGGAAATGTATAGGTTTAACAGTTATTTTCAACACATGAAGAGCAAAGAATGTTTTTTTGCTCACTTACTTGATACTTTAGCCACATCAGAAAGTCATTTAGATGTATATGGTTTTGTATTGGATACATTCAACCAAATAATCAAAACCAGCAAGGACTATTACACCATTTGTTACATGAAATTTGCATTGATTTCATCTTTATATGCGGTCTGTTTTACTAAAGATATCAGAAGTGTTAAAGCCACATTGAGCATAGTTGAAGAAAACAAAATACCTGTTTTGCTTGATCAAGGTGTTATACTAACCGAAATACCAAACATAATTACCATGTCTCATGTCGAAGATGGTAGTAAAACATGTGTTTTTCTTACATTATGTATATGGAATGCATATGAAGTATTCAATAAACCAGTGTTGGAGTTCTTACTTTCAAAATACAATCAGACTCCTTTTGATATCAATTCATTTTTTAAGTTGATGTATAGGGATAAATGGATAAGAAGAGTGATTTGTTATAAAAGAATATTCCGGAGAACGCCATCATTATCTCATATACCACTTAAATGGCTGATAGAAAGATTTGCAGACCAGGAATTAACTGATGTTGACTATATCTTAGAAATTGCTTTCAAGTACCAGATGTTTGATACAGTAGAATATCTAACATCCAAATATAAATCAAATGGTACTGTTTCCTGTTTTGTATCATTTTTGAGAAAAAATATTGATAAAGTTGACTGGAATTTGAGTAAGGAACCCTATATCCAAGAACTGCTAAATTTTCTCTTTACTAAAATTAACATTACTTCAAAAGAACTGATTCCTGTTGTAACTTTAGTTTTACAGAAACATCATGTTCCTGATTATATATTTGAAGCTTTCCTACCAGTTTGCTTAAATAATACCACGATATTGACTTTAGCTTCCAAGAATGGACAGTTCTATGTTGTCAATCAAATAATGGAAAACAGCCACTTTCAAATTCAATTAGACATCCAATCAGTAATTATTTCAGCATGTATGAAAGCAGTCAGAAAAGGCACATGGCATGTACACGATCATGATCATTTACGAGATATAGAGTTGGAGAAGTTAAAAATAGTAAAATACATTATTGGAAAATTTGAATTTGATCGGTTGGATATTAAAGCTGCATGTCAACAGGCTTGTGATTCTAGAATGTTCAAAATTGTAGAATGGTTTGTTCAGAACATTGATATGACTATGTTGGATGTGTATAGCATTATGGATTCAACTTTGAAGTATTCACAGCCAGATATATTAGTATGCATACTGGAAAAGATTGAAATAGCATGTTTGGATAAAAGGAAAATTTTGAAATCTGTAGCTAAGCACTATACTGGAAAATGTTCTACTATAATATTGAAAATAGTAAGCACTATCTGGAATAGTACAGTGAAAAAGGAAGAGTTGAAAATGCAGCAAATAGTAGATACTGCCTATGAACAAAAATGTTTTGGGTTATTAAAATGCATATATAATGCATGTAATTCTAATATATCTATAGATGGAAGGACATTACTAATGTTAGCATGTGGAGATGATCAGACGATCTTGAACATTGATGATGCTTTCCCCACGTTCAATCCCCAATTTGGAAGTATGGTAACATGGATTCTTGAACATTTTCAAATAGACCCTTTGGATCTGAAATCAGGTGTGTTTAGGTTATTAAGTCAGACCCGGTTTCATAGGCAGCACAATGCCATGTGTAATTTAGTAGTTTTTATACTTAAAAAATACTTAAATTCCATTAGTACAGAAGACATAGAACTAATGATGAAAACATCTCTAGAACATAACTATTATGATCTTGTGAACTGGTTTCTGGAAAATAAAAACTATTGTTCATTTGATAAACAACTAATTCTGAATAAAGCCTGTGTATATGCTGAGATTCAAACCGTTAAGATTCTACGTGAATATTTCTTTGCTTTGGACATGACTCAAGCTATGATGTATGCTTGTAATTTAGAATGTTCATTCTCTGACAGATATTATGGTTACAACCATTTTTTGAAAGGTTTTAAGGATGTTCAAACTTGGTTGAGTCTGTTGTGGAACGAAATTGATCACGATTCCGTAGATATAGGTTTATTAATGAGTACTGTATGTAAGAAGAAAGACGTCAGTAACGAAGTAATGACATGGGTACTTCTAAATCTTCCTCAAGAACAAATTCCTATTAAAGATGTTTTAATGAGTTGTTGTCAACAGAGAAAAATTAATCATGTGAAGTATATATTTCATACATTTCAAAATGAACAGCTTGACATCAATCAAGCGTTCTTTCATGCATGTGGAAAGCAAACTTCAATGCTTTTAAACCGTGAAATAGTTGAACATTATGACATAATGCTTGTAAATTATTTTTTTAAAAAGTTTCATGACAAAGCAGATAGTTTATCTGTGGTCCTAAATGCATTACTGGAGAAAAAGAAGTATGCTGTTATACCATACTTTCTCGAGGAAGGATTTTGTGAGAACATTAAATTGAGGAATCTTATGAAAAACGCATGTCATCGTGGACATGTAAAACTAGTGCAGTGGATTTTAGAAAATGTTGCCCATGAAGAACTGGATATTGTATCTGCATTTAATGAGGCTTATGGTGCTATAAAGCATGCTAAAGGCAATTCATTTAAGAAACAGTGTGTCATGTGTTTATCTTTAATGTGGCACTATATACAGGATGAAGACAGGTTTGAAATAGCCACTTTATTAAAAGTCATGACACCAGACATGTCTGATTCAGAATCGGATGCGGATTCAGATTCAGATGCGGAATTATATTTATTTAGGGATATATGTTTGTTTAAAGATTCAGATGATTTCCTTGATATTCTGGGGACCTGGTTACTATATATAAGGAACATAAACCAGAGTATGATTTGTCAATCCGATAGTGCAATGTAAAATACTGAATAAAAAAACCAACGTCAGAAACAAAATGTATTTGATGGTCGAAGTAAAAACAAACTAAGGAATAACAGTACTGTAGTTGAAAAGTTTCAGCCGTCAATTAACGATAATTGCAGTCGCAAATGTAGTTTCACTGGCGACACGTATCGGAGGCAGTAAAACGGATATGTGTGACCGTCAAATCAGAATTGACGGCGGCAACTCAACTACAGTACTTATATACTTATTATAATGCATTACAAAAAGAAATACTTCATTAGCAGGATAAGAGCTTGTAAAATGTATAAATTTATAAAGATAAAACGAAATTCCGCAACTCTAAATAAATGATTTTTGGCGCATTAACGTCATGGCAAAACAAGGCGTCATACAAACAAAAACGCTCAAAGTTTAGATTATTTTGATACTTGTTCGATTCAGATTTGGACAAAATCTCTTTGAAACGGCGTTTTGAAGCAGGTTATGTTTAATTTTCCGATTATATTGTATAAAACGAGAAAGTGTGGATTCCAGCAATTAAATGATGGCCCAAGGCATGCTTATTGTAGATTTAACGGTCTATGTTAGCCAAGAAAAAGTTGTTGTTGAATTTAGTAATTTTCGTCCAGGTTGAAAGACGAACATGGCAACCGTGTCTAAAAATAACACATAGTGGTCAAACTATAGTTTGGGCTTATATTTCTTAATCTATAGCAATAAGGAAAAAAGACTGTGTAAAATGGTCAGTGCAATTCCTATATACCCTAAATATTTTGAGAAATCTCCACACTTGCCCTTAGTATTTTGAATTAAAACGAGCTTGGCATATACATTCCTTTGTTTCGAAAATTATAAGAACAATGTTAGAGGTGTAAACTACGAAATTAATCAGCATCTCGGAATATTAGAGAAATATCTAATCACGTTTTGAATTTATTGCCCTTCAGGTTGCATTTTGTAAATACAGCTGTTTCACAAGACACATCCCTTTTGGGAAGATATATAATATTCATCTGCTCATAGATATAGTAATTTGTTAACGTACTGGTTCCCAGATATGATCTATGTGTTTCATCTCATAGAGACATAACTTGGAATGTTACCAGTATAGAAAAACATGGTAGTGCCTAAAATTGTATTCTTAGGAGGTCCAAAAGTGGAGTTAGGGGTAGTATAGAATTTTAGTGTAAGTTTAAACTCTTAGAAGTTCAGGAATATAAATGTTTAAAAAAATATGACTATAATAAAGCCTTTGTTGGCCTGGTGTTACCTTTTCTCGTCAGTTTTTATCTAACGTCGTAATACAGTACATGATATATGAGGCATGAAGAAGGAATCCTTACAGCTGAATTATCTATCGTAGAGGATCTTACAAATTAATGTAGGATGCAGTCACAGAAATATTTATATCATAAGCACGTCTGAACCAGTGACAACTCTACGACAGATTTTATCCATCGGATCACCATTGATGGTGATACATGGCTGAACACATATTCTGTATATATAATTCGTCTAAATATCAACCGAACAATATTAGATTTGTAAATTTGCGGAAGAAATTTGTTTGTTCTTCCCTGGCCGGGATTCGAACTGGTGCTACTGAGATATCGTTGCACTAAGCTGGTCGCGCTAGACCACTCTACCACCTATATTGTATACATACATGTCTAAATTGAAAACAACGTTCAAACCTATGATTGCGTTGGATTAAAAATCGCAATTTTTATACTTTGCATGTAAAACAAATTTCGTGGTAGAGAGGTCTAAATACAGCACAAACAACATTTTCCAAAATACCAAAAAAGTGAAAAAGTTTATTTTAACAAAACGCATTTGACTAACAGGTCGAACAACTGATGTTCATTTGTACACCATATCCGGATTTCGACAATTAATGTCTCTTCAGTGATGTTAGGGATCGAAAGAGTATTTGGAAGGCCATATAATTTACCTCAATTAAGGATAGACTCTTGAATTTTAAAGAGTCGAAATAGGATGAACGGATTATATAAACCGGAGGGAAAATATAATACAAGCCCAAACTAAAAAATATAAACAAGTCTAAATTGAAAACAACGTTCAAACCTATGATTGCGTTGGATAAAAACCGCAATTTTTATACTGTGCATGTAAAACAAATTTCGTGGTAGAGGGGTCTAAATACAGCACAAACAACATTTTCCAAAATACCAAAAAAGTGAAAAAGTTTATTTTAACAAAACGCATTTGACTAACAGGTCGAACAACTGATGTTCTTAAACTCTGCTGACTGCCATTGACGATTGCCAAATAAATTGACCACAAGATGTAACAAAATGGATCTTTATATTCATTTAATACCAAACAGAAAGCAATAAACTTGCGGTGATGTTAGGGATCGGGAGGGTATTTGAAAGGCCATATAATTTACCTCAATACAGGACATCTTGAATTTTAAGTCGAAATAAGATGAACGGATTATATAAACCGGAGGGAAAAAATATAATACAAGCCCAATTGAAAAAATATAAACAAATTTAAATTGAAAACAACATTCAAACCTATGATTGCGTTTGATAAAAACCTGAATGTAAAACAAATTTCGTGATAGAGGGGTCTAAATACACATATACATATATATACATGTCACTTTTTCAGACGTACTTATTATTTATTATATATATACATAGAAATATATGCAAACCTGCTATTCAAACATAGATATCAAACTAACTTTAAGTTAACAATTTAACGGGCGAACAGTAAGACGTGTTTGTACTGAACGAAGAACTATAAAGGAAACACTGCCAGAAGCAGGGGAAAACTGAAACGCCATATAAACTAACAAATAATGAAAACAACCAGGCAGGGTAAATGAATGTCATTCTAATTCTCTTTGTTCAACCGAATGGAATTATAATTAGTACAGTGAATACGCTTATAAATACCGCAAAAGAGACAATTCCGTGTAATTTTTATACCCTGCACACAAAACCATACTGGAATACAGACACGTGAAAAAAGCACACCATAAAGAAAACAAAACACATAAGGTTGGGTGCATGGCGGACGACCCAGAGGTATGCAACATAATTTGTACTTTAACTATAAACAAGCGTTCACACATCACCAGAGTCGATTTGTAATGCATTTACGAATTATTTCGAAGATCTTTCCACATCATCATATATGTGGTATGTCAACGTTCCATGAACCTAAATGAAATGAATAAAGGATACAACGAAATTAAACGAGTATGTAAAGCCTATAAAGATATACACTTACCAGGTGGACCTATTTCTTGTGATTTAAGCTCTGTTATTAAACAGGTAAACGTAGACCAGCGTGTGGCAATGACATGATTCAAAACGAATATTTGATATTTGGTGGATCGAAAGTTGCGGAGTGTTTATCAGTTTTTCTAAATATCGTTTTAGAAAAACAGAAGGTTCCTAATGACTGGCTGAAATAATTTCTAAGTCTATTCGGCGCGACATGTGAAAACTCCCCTTTTTTACAAAAAACTCAATAACTCTAAAAAGTGTACAGATCTTTAGATTTATATAACTAAGAAGTGTGTAAAGTTTTAAGCATGAATCATAAATCATTTTTAAGATACGGCGCGACATGTGAAAACCCCCCTTTTTTTTACAAAAACTCAATAACTCTTAAAATAAAATTTTGAATCATCACAAAAAAGTTTACAGATCTTTAGATTAATATAACTAAGAAATGTGTAAAGTTTTAAGCAATAATCATAAATCGTTGTTGAGATACGTCGCGACATGTGAAAAAACACACCCCTGTTTTAGTTACAAAGTCCCGTAACTCAAAAAGTTTTAATCTTATTTTCACTAAAAAATAAACAGATCGTTTGACCATCATAAGAAACTAAGGATTTTCTTATCCCAGGATTAGATTACCTTAGCCGTATTTGGCACAACTTTTTGGAATTTTGGGTCCTCAATTCTCTTCAACTTTGTACTTGTTTGGCTTTATAACTATTTTGATCTGAGCGTCACTGATGAGTCTTATGTAGACGAAACGCGCGTCTGGCGTATTAAATTATAATCCTGGTACCTTTGATAACTATTGACAATATTTAGTCACCAGTAATAACATGGACAGCCGGATTATATATGAATGGGGAACTAGCACAGGTGCAGTCAGGAGGTTTAGACTTGAAGTCGTCAATATTGAGATCCTGCCACACGTGTTTGTAATTGAAAATTTTAGTTGCAATTGGTTTGGTATAAGTATAAGAAATAGGTACAGACTGATCTTTAAAATAGGGAGGTATTTTCGAGTGAACTGATTTATGATGAAGGATATTGCCCAAGTTGATGGCATCGATACATGTACCTTTGTTGGCAAAGGAAAGTTGAAGAAAGGACCTTTTCTCCTTTGCATCTTTTCCAATGCAAACTGGTGCGAATGTGATGAATACCTAACGGCTTATGTATAAATGGCAGCAGGTCATTAAAAGAGACATCATAGAGAGTAGGTGATGTATAATGACGATGACCATGACTGCGTCTACGTCGAGGAGTAGAGTTGAAAAAATTCATCACATTCACCGAGCTACAGAAAGATAAGATAGAATACCTATACCATCAATTTTGTCATTGCTTCCATATGGTGTCGCAGTTCCAATTGTCGAATCGAGTAGTCTTCTTTTTGTCTACGGAGAGGTGTTGCAAGATGAGGATTGTTAGTCTGGTGGTATATTTTTTCGATGATGCGAACTTGCATAAAAACGATTGAATGATCAGGCTGGTTATGTATATAATGTCGCTTGCACTTTTGTTGATGTCTGATCTATGGTCGCACATACGTTTATTTAGCCTTCCTTTCGTTTCACCGACGTATACCAATCTGCAATGGTTACACTCTAATCCGTAGACTATATTTGTTGACTTACAATTCAGATAATTGTAGCTCCTGGTAAAAAAAGACTTTTTTGTTAAATTGCTAGTGAATTGAGTATCTGTTATTAAAATTCCACACGTTTCACAGCCTTTGCCTTATATATTTCAAAAAAAGACAGTCTTGTTCAGAGTCATCAAAATCCAAATGAATTGTAGAAGAACTGAACACGGCTGCGTACGTAGATTATTGCTGTTGTTATTAGTATGATGAACAGAATGTGTCATATTAGGGATTTTTGTCATGTCTGGTGATGAGAGGACACATGCAATATCAGACGACACCGTGTCCATGGTGACGTCTGTTTCGGACCTTTTTATACTGGGCGACGTCCGAACCAGTATTCTGTTTGATCTTTGTAAATTCATGCATAGTATGCCACTGGGCGGATGATGTCCTCGAGGACAAAATATCCACCAGCAGAGACATCGACCCAGTTGTTGTAAAAGAGAGGCGAAAGATTCCAAAGGGACATTCAAACTCATAAGTCGAAAATAAACTGACAACGCCATAGCTGAGCAACACGAACCCCACCAAAAACTGTGGGTGATCTCAGGTGCTCCGGAAGGGTAATCAGATCCTGCTCCACATGTGGCACCCGTCGTGTAGGAGATGTATAAATACCCTGCCACGTCAGATCTGTTTTTATCAGAAAAAGAAGTCTACGGCAAAAGCGGACAAATCACGTTTCTAATTAGACGTATTTAGACTGTCACATCTGTGATCAGCACTCGGGATAAAAAGATTCGCGATAACAATCATCTCACGAGGAGATTTTTTATTCGTAGTATTAACTTCAGAATTTCGTTCTCATAATGTTCCAAAACTTGAATGAGTACGATAAATATCTATTAGGAAAAGAAATTGGGGTCCGGCAAAGGTAAGCACAACTGCATATCAAACACCGAAAAGAAATACATCGGCTTATTGAAGAAGGTGGGTAACTTCATGATAAACTCGTCGAACAACTTGGTTGATAACCTGTCACCTACCAGTTCTTGTGTGAACTAGAGTGTACCCACACATAACTTGGACGGCAAGTCAGGTTGAGCGAGAATCGGTACCCATACAATATAAAAATTAGAATATGTGGAATGATTGTCAATGAGACAACTCTCCACCAGAAACCAATTGATATAGAAGTTAACAACTATAGTTCATCGTACGTTTTACAAAAGACTCCGTGGGAAGGACCTCAGTGAAATGACTATGAACATGAAGGTTTGCTACACGTCCGAGTGAATATAACTCTTCGTGGCTATCTACCTAGCATCTGGCGTGCCTTCGCTGAAGGACATCTTTAAGAACTTGTTGGGTCATGTTTATGTTAAACTGTGCACTACTGCAAAATAGAAGTGAGCTGTAG